GATGGAAATAACTCAATCTACCAGAAATAACTATGAGATGATGGACAGGATGATATATCTAATTGAGTAAACAGACGTAGTGGAGTATACGAGGAGGATATATATTTGTATTACGACATACTCTCATGTTAATTGTGGGATTCTTAGTTTATAAGCTACACCAGTTGGCGAAAGCAGAGGTTATTTCAACATTACACCATAATTAGAGAAATAGAAATCTTTTTGTTGTTTTGTTGAACTCTTAACATTTCAGAAATACCAGTATGTTCACATTCTGACAAATGCAGCATGCACCTACATTCATTCTATTTTCAAAACAGAGAATTAGAGTTTAGTGTTTGCTTCATGAAAGAGTATCTATAAAGAAATGAATTAAAACAGCTATTAAATGTGAGATATGGTTTAAGTTGCTGTCATGCATAGAGTACACAACATTTTAGTTTCAGATGAGAATGATCTCCCAGATGGATTTGAGAGCAGGGGGTGGAATCTCAAATCCAACACAAGACTGGAACCTTGCAGCTAGTCAAGTCATTTAAGGCTTTGAAATTCGCTGTGCAGAGTTGCATCCCTTAGGCTTGCCAGAATCCTATGATTGTGGGTTCAAATCTTACAATCACCCTGATCATGACTCTAGGTCTGTGAGCATCATACCCATTCTTGGGTTTGTCCAAAGTGGAAGACATTTAACACTTGAACCTATCAGGCATTCATCCCACATTAAGCAGACAAGCTGTGACACATATACTCTTAAAAGTAAAGGTAAACCCAACTCACTCACTCACTAACTCTGTTGCCTTCCTCCATCCAATCCCGTACAGGCTTAAATCAAGGTAAGAGCAGAACTCATACGGAATGTTTTCTTCAAGCTTTTGTACAATTTCCAGACATATCTAAACCACCAAATTATGCACATCACATCCTGCAACAACACCCACTGTCTGTTGTCGGAAACAACCCTCTGTAATTATGCAGTACTGTCGAGCCATGGCTGTGCAGAACCTCATCCTATATCACCACACAAAAACATCGTCCGTGTTTAGACAGAAACAGCACACACACCTACCTGCAACATTCCACATGCAACCGCCAACAACCTGAGACGTGACCAACCCACCTGCAGACCTCCCCCCTCCCAAGACACCAGGGGGCAATGTGACCACTTGCATAATAACTGCCCTGTTTCAAAAAGCGATCTTAACTCCCATACGTAAAAAAGGGTTACAACAGTCGTGGTGCTAAGATCGCTTGGCAGAACATGGCACTGAGACACCTCAGACCTGATATTCAGTTTTCCAAACACCAATGTCAGTTTTGTATTGGATGTGTTCTCTCTAATGTTTATGAAATGTCCACTGGGGATTGATCAGAAATTTCTTTTTGAGCTAGTAGAGGTCAATGTTCTCAGGAAAAGTCTGCAATGTCTTGGACAGAACATTGTCACATGTAATGTTAAGTGTCAATGAGAAATATTAACAAGCCTGGTGAGATGTTCCGTATGCAGAGATGCGTGCTGGAGGGGTCATGGCCTGAGCTTGTTCATGTTAAGCACACTTGCTGCAATTTAACAGAGTTCTGAGTGGCAACACTATGTCTTTCAGGGTGGCACCCTACGTAGGAGACAAACATGGGTTATAACATAGGTGGAAAATATCATATACATATTGCTACACAATCTGGAAATTAATGCTTTCTATAAAAGACTTCCCATCATAAACTGTGTTAGAGACATGTTAAGTCACTCATAAATTATTTCAGTACTTCCACAATGACAGTTGAGGTACGTAGAGAGCTGACTGGCTCGCTATGACATGCCTTCACAGAACCTCAGATTCTTTCCCATGCAGAGAGCAGAATTCAGCAAAAACAAGATCAACTAATCAGAAAAATGTTCACAGGTAATTTACTTGGGAGTTTTCAGGACAAACGTAAACATGTTTGGAGATCACTCTATAATCCTAACATATTTGTCTCCAGACGTAGAACCTGTTCTGATCAACAAGTCTGACAGTGAGCGATACTGATGGGAATTTGCCCGAGACGGACAGTATTTCATGTCAAAGATTCGGGGGAATTCAGTAAAACCAGGAAACATCAGTCTGACTCCACTGTGGGAGAATCAATCCTGTCTAGACTGTCACTAAAGAATGTCTAGGATTAGATTACATAACTGTGTACCTGTTGAGGTAATCTGGTTCTAACAGTTCTATTCTCATCTGATATGACAGGAAATCATAGTCCTAGGTCCTAGGAAGTCATAGCTCTTGGTCCTAGGGAGTCATAGTCATAGGTCCTAGGGAGTCATAGTTCTTGGTCCGAGGGAGATATAGTCAGAGGTCCTAGGGTGTCATAGTCCCTGGTCCTAGGGAGTCATAGTCAGAGGTCCTAGGGAGTCATAGTCCCTGGTCCCAGGGAGTCATAGTCCTAGGTCCTAGGGAGTCATAGTACCTTTTCCTAGTGAGTCAAAGTCCTTGGTGAGTCCTTGGTGCTAGGAAGTCAAAATCCTTGGTCCTAGGGAGTCAAAGTCCTTGGTCCTAGGAAGTCAAAGTCCTTGGTGCTAGGAAGTCAAAGTCTTTGGTCCTAGGAAGTCAAAATCCTTGGTCCTAGGAAGCTAAAATCCTTGGTCCTAGGGAGTCAAAGTCCTTGGTCCTAGGAAGTCAAAGTCCTTGGTGCTAGGAAGTCAAAGCCCTTGGTCCTAGAAAGTCAAAGTCCTTGGTCCTAGGAAGCTAAAGTCCTTGGTCCTAGGAAGTCAAAGTCCTTGGTCCTAGGAAGTCAAAGTCTTTGGTCCTAGGAAGTCAAAATCCTTGGTCCTAGGAAGCTAAAGTCTTTGGTCCTAGGAAGTCAAAGTTTTGGCTGTAGACTGATGTTTCCAGGTAAATGAAAGTGTTGATTTTGTTTCAATATCAAGACGCATGTTTGAAACAGATAATCTTATTAACAGTAATTACTTCCCGGGTTTGGGACACAGATGATGAATAATGAAAAGGTTTGCCCTCAGAAACTCCTTGATGGCACGCATGAAAACAGGACCAAAAATACTTCGGACATACAACATAGAATATTACACAACCAACTTGGCTTGAATGAGAGATTATTACTTTTACAATTATTTACCCGTATCTTCAATATTTTAATTTCAATGTCTAAAAGATGAACAGTCAGTGACTTTATCCACAAGTCGGAATTCTGAGTCCAGTAAAAATGTGTTGGTCGAGTAAAGCCTAGTTAATAATAATCCATACAATAACACTAAAATCTACTGAAAATGATGTAAAGTGTCATGTTCAGGTTTTCGGCACAGACTGGATGAGTGACGTGTAGAATTAATCAATAACTTCATATCAACATTCCCTTATTAATTCTACACATGTTGCCAATCATATTGAGTGAGTGAGTGAGTGAGTGAGTGAGTGAGTGAGTGAGTGAGTGAGTGAGTGAGGGTGAGTGAGTGAGTGAGTGAGTGAGTGAGTGAGTGAGTGAGTGAAAATTTAACGTCACATCGGCAAAATTTCAACCATGTCGTGACATGAATGATATCCAAACATAAAGAAGTTATGAAATTATGAAAAAGAAATGCCCCATAATTAAAATATGCTGAAAGAAAATGGCACATACATTTGAGTACATATAAATCACATCTAGGCGACAGATACCCTTGGTTTAGTTTCCATAGCAACAGGTAGTCACTGCTCATCATATACAACACTAACACCACACTGGGACACACAGGGTAAAGAACAAACAGTTTCAAAACATAACTGACATGTGTAACGTAACGGGAGTCAAACGAAAAAACACAACTGAGCTAACATTTTAACTTACAGCCATCAGGTCGACAGGGCAAGGCACACAGCAAACAAAGTTAGACAGTGGCTATATTCCAGGTGAATTATAGATATAACACAGGTCCCAGATGAAAGATGGCACAGGATATAAAAGCGTAGTGTGCGACCGGCTTGTGTCAGTCCCGGTTGATACAATACCCACGTCAAGCACCTGGCTGATCATTACTAGAGCGAGTGCTTCTGGCCTTTCATTGCCATTAGCTACAGTGAAAACACCGGAGTGCAGTGACAGCGATATGACAGAGGTCTGCCAATAGGGAAATGGTTGAGCATTGGCAGAACTACTCAATCATCATGTGATGGGTCACTGAACTCATGTATCAGAAACAGTAACTTTATATATTGCATACACACAAAAAGATTATTGACCTGATATACAACAGACCGGCAATAGGATATTGTAGTCCATTAAACTGATAGAGCTGAAAGAGTAGTCTCCCTTCCACCACTTAAATAGCTCATGTTGTCAGTGTTGGAAAGGCGTTGTTTTCTTCATTGTTTGATTGAGACCATTCAGGTATTTTATTGTATCATATCCCATACACCCTGCCGAGATTCCTGGGTAGGATACATTCCGGTAGCCAAGAGCAAGACAAAATTGAAAATTGGGTGGTTCCAAAGTGACCAGGCTAATCTCATAGACCATTCACTGGCATGCAAAAAGATTACATATTTTTCGTCTTTGAGAGCAGGAGTAGAATCAACAGATTCGAGTTATTTCTCTGACATACAGGTCAACCACATCATGGATGATACATCATTTCTGTATAATTTTGATTAATGACCTACAGCTTTGTTAGTTTTACTCGTTAAAAGTCCAAAAAGCCAGTGTATTCTTGGCAACAATGATTGTGTGACACCATCATAATCACTTATAAAAGTCTAAAACAACAAATTGTATAATCTGAGGAGTCAGAAGAAAGAAAAAGGAAAAACTATTGTAAAAGTGACAGAAACTATCACAACTAAAAGAAAACAAACTTCATCCAAATGACATTTCTACTGAAAGTAAATTGTAAAATGTATGTGACACAAACAGGACACAGAAGCGATGAGGATATGAAGATATATTCCCATACAGACAGCGAGTAGACTCAGTGTTATGTAATATATCACACAGCAGAGATACATGATATATTGTCTTTGGTCACTCACCTGGTTTTCAAAGAAAGTCTTAAAAAAAAATCAAAACTTCAATTACCATTTAAGAAAAACATTCACTACATTTCACTGTATTTTCACAATCTGGATATTTGTCATTCCCCAGGCACAATCAATATGCCAGCAATTAAGTTCTTGGAAATTTCTTCCAAGATGCGGTTTTAAAAGCTTTGGTCTTCAAACCCAAAGCACTAACTCCTGTCCTTTCACCAACATTTGCAACATTATATAACTAGGAGATATAAACTGCAAAATTGTTAAAGATCAACTTTGCAAATCTGGGGTATTGATAAACTTCCTAAAATCCCTATTTTACATTCACACTCTGACATGTCAATAGGTGCTGATTCAAAATGGTCAATACTAGTGCAAGGAGAGGACCTGTCTCATTGTTGTAGCTCATCTCACAGTCTGCTATCAAAGACTCAGAGGTGCTGATGGGTTAGCGATCACTCGGTTGTCAAACTTGGATGTTCCTACATTCCACATGCTGCTATAGCACAGGCCAAATCATGGAGCATTCCAGAGCATATGATATCAATTAAACATGACATACACCATAAGGAAGTGTATTAGTGACAGTCTAAATCTTTTTTATCATCTACGTAGATAACACATCTACATATGTTTTTTTTATCATCTATGTAGATATAACTTTCATCTACGTAGATAATACATCTACATATGTTGTTTTTTATCATCTATGTAGATATAACTTTCATCTACGTAGATATTACATCTACATATTTATTTTTTAACATCTATGTTGATATAGCTTTCATCTATGTAGATAATACATCTACATATGGTTTTTTTTATCATCTATGTAGATATAACTTTCATCTATGTAGATAATACATCTACATATGGTTTTTTTTATCATCTATGTAGATATAACTTTCATCTACATAGATAATACATCTACATATGGTTTTTTTTATCATCTATGTAGATATAACTTTCATCTACGTAGATAATACATCTACATATGTTTTTTTTATCATCTATGTAGATATAACTTTCATCTACGTAGATAATACATCTACATATGTTTTTTTTTATCATCTATGTAGATATAACTTTCATCTACGTAGATAATACATCTACATATGTTGTTTTTTATCATCTATGTAGATATAACTTTCATCTACGTAGATAATACATCTACATATGGTTTTTTTTATCATCTATGTAGATATAACTTTCATCTACGTAGATAATACATCTACATATGTTTTTTTTTATCATCTATGTAGATATAACTTTCATCTACATAGATAATACATCTACATATGTTTTTTTTTATCATCTATGTAGATATAACTTTCATCTACATAGATAATACATCTACATATGCTTTTTTTTATCATCTATGTAGATATAACTTTCATCTACGTAGATAATACATCTACATATGTTTTTTTTAATCATCTATGTAGATATAACTTTCATCTACGTAGATAATACATCTACATATGGTTTTTTTTATCATCTATGTAGATATAACTTTCATCTACGTAGATAATACATCTACATATGGTTTTTTTTATCATCTATGTAGATATAACTTTCATCTACGTAGATAATACATCTACATATGGTTTTTTTTATCATCTATGTAGATATAACTTTCATCTACATAGATAATACATCGTTTTTCGTACCTAAAATGAGGGGGCTAAGAAGGGGGGTCGTCTTATACACGGAGTCGAAGATCTCACATTTTTTTCCACTGGCGATGTCAACCGGCGTCCGATAGCCAGCCCAGCATTTGACAATAAAACTTCGCATTTCGTCCTAAATAACTGTTCCAATAACTATTTCAATACATAAACATGTTTTGTATCTCTTTTCCTTGAATAAAGTTTAATAATTTCTGCAAATAAAGTTGAAATGACCCTCGCCTCGATGCAGATTGTCAAACCACCTGACACGGTAAAACAATCAACATCCGTGAGTAGAGAGCCGGAAGTACCGGTAAGCATTTGCATATTGCACATGTGACCTAACATGTGATAACCGGTGAAGCTGAAATCAATTCCCGCTGTTTTTACAGTTGTATTAACAAGTGTTGGAGACGGTGTGTACAAGTGATTGTGGAATAAACACGCTGAATGTGAAGCAAACATAAGCCTAGTTAGATACAACATAGTTAATTGGCGATTAAATTACTCACCATTGTCTTTTATATGTTATTACTTCATAAATGAATTTTATTTTACGGGCACCAATTTGGTGTCGTACCGTGTAAACACAAAATGGCGACGTGTGCTGGAGTTACACACGCGACGTATCATTGTAGAAAAAAACAACAACGCAAGATAAACATATTTTTATTTTGTGTGTGCACTTGTGATGTCCGTGTGCGAAATACGCTACAGTCGGAAAGCGCACGTTAAATCTTCTATATCAATCATACTTGTGATGTGTTTCAATTCAGGTCGCCTTATACACGGAGTATAGGATTTTGGGTTGATTTTTAAGGCGTGTACAGGGGGGTCGTCTTATACGTGGGGTCGCCTTATACACAGCGATATACGGTATGTGATATCATAATCATATGCATAGATACTTAGAGAGTGATATTGACTAGTTAATACAAAAATATATATTTCAAATAAGGGTGATTACTAAATTACTGTTAATTTAATTAAATGTTGGAGAGTATATAGGAGTATTTGGCATTTTCCGTATTTTGACAACATACTGAGATCATTTCAAATTGTCAAACTATGAGCGCTAAAATAAAACACTAACTACAGAATTGTGCCTTCAGTGCTTCATAGGATAATGACAAGTATTGATTGGCTATAGTTTTTACAGTTTGAGTGATTCTCACGCCTTCATATTCATGTTTTACCTCTTGAACCTAATTTCCATTATGGAGAAATCATGAGAATCAGCATATCCAAGTGATTTCTCCAACTTCAACGATGTTATGTTTGATGTATAATTTCTACTAAATTTTAAAAAATGACCATTCGTTGTTTGTTTGTAGTTTGAAGAACATTTTGCACTCTCCTCTCTTTATTACAGTTGTAAGAGAGTTAGGCACGTGTCATTCTTCAGTAATTTCGACACATTGAAATGAAGATTTACTTTAATTAATGTTAAGATAATACCTCAATAAGGATATGTCAAGGTAGAATTTCAAACAAATCAGTGATTATTAATTAGCCACAGGTAATATATATCTGACCCGGAACTATGGAGATGATACTTTGTTTTAGACTGTGACACTTATACGCTGCCATACAAACATGCCTCAATTTTTTTTTAAATATGTGTGAATTGGCTCACCTCGAGATCAATATCATCAGGAATTTCGAGGTCGTCCATGGTGTCTGCACTTCCTGCCTCCACCTCCATGCTGCTTCCACGATCTCGGAATGCTCGTTTTTGTGCCAGCTCTAAGCTCTCAGTTACCTCCCGTTCTTCTGCCTCCTCGTCACTGTCCCCCACATCTATCACAGGTCGCTCAAACGAAACATTAGGGTCCACCCCAAAAACACGGTCAATATTCCTACGCGCTTCGTCCTCATCACCACATTCTTCCTCCACCTCAATAGTATAGGTCCCTGCCTCACTCGCTTTATCATCATCCTTTTTATCAGGAATCAATCTGTCATTGGTCAAAAGCATGCGAGGGCTTCCCATGTCTTTTGATTTTCGGCTTTTGAGATTACTGGCAGATACCAGGTCACTATTAGCGTCCCCATTCTGCACTGCGTGTACATCATACCCGGCCGACTCCTTGTACAAGTCATGTTCGGTCAGCGGTGCTGCACTACTTTCGACCTCCGCTACAGGCTTGTGACTGCCTTTGCCGTTGCCCTCAAACATCTTGTCTATAAGGAAGGATGCAGGGTCCCTGTACTGTGAAGGATCCAACGTTGACACTTCGGATGGTTTTGATTTAGGAGATTTGGTACTGGATCGCACAGAACTTGGGGATTTCTTACTCCTCACTGCCCTGGAACCTGCAATAAGATGCAGTGGAGTTAGCAAAGGAAAATATAAGGAAAATATATTCATTTACATTCATATGTCCAGTCTGAGAATATATATCCTTGGTTAGGACATTTTACTACCATCTTTCAAGATGGCCGCCATAATGTTAATACATTTCGGTTTCTTCCACACGGTATGTTATATGGTTTGGGAAGGAAGCGGTAACTGGAGATATCATAGGTATTAGCAGGAAGTACATCATAACAAATGACAAAAACAGAACATAAAGGGTTTGTACAATTCACTAAAGTTTTCACTCAATTATATTCCATAAATGCAACAAAATATGCAAATTCCGTTAAGCATCCTCATACAATCACAGATCAGTTTGTAATGTCAAACATCTACCATTCATATAAACAGTGACAGTAATTACTGTAGAGTAGAGGACTACCGTATGTCCTCAATTAAACGCCCAGGGTTTCCATGAAATGCCAGGCCTAAATTAAGAGGCAGGTAGCTTTTATGCACAGAATTCTACTCATTATCATCTTTACGTTTAAATAAAAAGTGTCTGAAATACATGTATGCCCGGGTGTTTAGTTGAGGAAATACGATATCTGTGATTCAGTTGCTCCATCCCGAGGCCAACAGTCTCTTGAATATTGGAAACGTGATTTATCCTTGTGGAGAATCAATGAACTCAGCTCATGTAGCACTACCTTTCACAGGGGTGTCACTCTTGCTGCTGGACTCCCCATTTTCTGTGACTCTTGATGGAGATTTTTCTCCCCCCAACTTTTTACTGCCATGGAATTCTGTCTTCTTTGTTGATGAATGTTTCTTTACAGGTTTGGTGTCTGAGGAGGAGCTTGCCGTGTCATCCTGCTTCTTCGTCTGCGCGGGCGACATCTCTCGCTCCTCCTGAAATGTCAAGTGTCATCCTTCAGATGCAACAGTAACAAACATCTTGACAACTTTTCATCACAACGTCACGGTACATGTGTTGCCTGCTTGTAGTAGAATAACACCCCTTATCCTACTGCCATGTCAGAATGATGAGATCTGATTGGTACATGTGATCTTGATAAAATACTGTGTATCCTGCCTTGGAGGGTAATAAATTTCTCAGCGGGAAATAAATCTCTTATACCCTGCCATGAGCAAGTCAGACTGCACGTGGATTTATAAGAGGTAGTTTAAATCCCTTATACCCCGCTTCAAAGCAAAAAGCCACAATGGAAGTCACGTGACATAGCACAAGCTAACCTCAGCTCAAACAGCTATCAATTTTGAATTTGTTTGAATTATTTTAAAATGTCATATTAAAACATATCGGTAAGATAAATTTGTTGAAGCAGGATCACTGGGGTACATGGGGTTTTATGCGTCCCACGTAAGGTCTTATACCACGAGCCGGAATATCACACACTTTTTACATATAATATATATTATATATCGGCCACATGAAATATCCTGGTTATCAAGTTCTACATGTCTCCTGCTTATAGAAGTCTTGGCCAATATCAAACAATACACAAATTGGCAATCACATCAGCCACATGATATATCCCAGTTATCGAGCTCTACATGTCTCCTGCTTATAGAAGTCTCGGCCAATATCAAACAATACACACACTCTGGCAATCATATCAGCCACATGATATATCCCGGTTATCGAGCTCTACATGTCCCTGCTTATAGAGGTCTCAACCAATATCACACAAAACAGACACTGGCAATCATATTGGCCATATAATATACAGACTACAAGACTCAAACAGATAAAGCGATCTGCCCTCACCTCGGACTTGCTTGGTGTGGCCTCTTTATTTTGTGACCTTTGTTGAACTTTATCTTTTCTTTCTCGAAAACTTTTCCTCATTTTGGACGGCACACATTCACTGAGAGACTTTGGCATCTTTGTCTTCTTGTCATCATCTCCAAAATCTACAGTGAAGGCCATCGCCGCCGTGTCCGTCTGTCGACTGCTGCCACGGTCTGGCGTCCCCTCCTTGGAGGACGTGCGGTCCCCCGGTGTGTCTGGTGTGTTCATCTTGCTGGTCTCGGAGAACAAGCTGTCCTTGGATATAGAGGAGGACATGCTTCTAGGCGGGGTCTCCTTCTCCCGGTCCGACTCAAGGGCCCTGTATGGGATCTCCATGTACCTGGTGCCATACTCGGCCTCACCCTGAGACTTCTCCATCCTTGACAGGGCCTCTTTTTGTTCTAGAGACAGACTTCTAGGGCGGTCAGCCTGGTTATTGCTCTCTGAAACAGGGCAAACAGAGATATTAGTCCATAGATAAAAGAAGTATTCCTTCACTGAAAGTAAACTGTTTGCGCAAGAGCCTCTCACTACATCATTTGTGATTATCTCCTATGTATGACACAGCTCCAAGAGTCAATGTATTGTACAAGCCAGTATTATCATGACACAGAACCAAGAGTCAATGTATTGTACAAGCCAGTATTATCATGACACAGCTCCAAGAATGAATGTATTGTACAAGCCAGTTTTATCATGACACAGCTCCAAGAGTCAATGTATTGTACAAGCCAGTATTATCATGACACAGCTCCAAGAGTCAATGTATTGTACAAGCCAGTATCATCATGACACAGCTCCAAGAGTCAATGTATTGTACAAGCCAGTATTATCATGACACAGCTCCAAGAGTCAATGTATTGTACAAGCCAGTATTATCATGACACAGCTCCAAGAGTCAATGTATTGTATAAGCCAGTATTATCATGACACAGCTCCAAGAGTCAATGTATTGTACAAGCCAGTATTATCATGACACAGCTCCAAGAGTCAATGTATTGTATAAGCCAGTATTATCATGACACAGCTCCAAGAGTCAATGTATTGTATAAGCCAGTATTATCATGACACAGCTCCAAGAGTCAATGTATTGCACAAGCCAGTATTATCATGACACAGCTCCAAGAATGAATGTATTGTACAAGCCAATATTATCATGAGACAGCAGCTTATTATCAAAGATACAGGTCTCATAATCCTCTACTAACGCTCCACCTCCAATACATGAATTACCACCTGTATTCAAAAGAATAATGTAAGTGAGTGAGTGAGTGAGTAAAGTTTTATGCCGCTTTTAGCAATATTCCAGCAATATCACACATTGTACCAATGTGGAGAAATGGATCCCGGGTCTTCGGCATGACAAGCGAATGCTTTAACCACGAGGCTACCCTACAGACTAATGTAATCAGGTCTGTGGTTGGAGATGTTCACAGTCCATACAGACACAAGCTTCATAACAACTCCTGTACCGTTTATACACAGTATCACAAGGCAACATCTTTAACACAATACAGAAATCTATACATATTCTGTCTCTCCAGAATAATCTACTCACAACCTAGAAGTATGGATTGTCTGTGATCAGTAATCTTCCTAACCTACGTCTAGAGTTGTTCAGTTTGGTCTGACGTATGACGTCCAAAGAGTATTTGTCAGCTTCTACAGCAAACATTGCTGGCAGGGTGGCAAGGAGATGATCATCAATCTTTCTTCTTGCATAACCTTTATTATAGCTAAAATGGATAGAATTATCATTAAACCGCCCGCACGTTATCAGAAATGAGCGGGCCACTGTAACTTGATAATGCCCTCATATTACTTGACGACGGGCCATTATCACGCCCGTTGTTAGGTGACGTCATAGGGTAGAGAAAATGACGTCACGTATTATAGTGACGTCATCTGGTTTGTTCTATGACGTTTCCATATTTGTAAAATGTGGTCAGTGACATTCGTGTTGATTGCAGTAAATGTTTCAAAACCGATATTGTTGTTTCTTATTATTTGATAACAAATTCCATCCATTTTAGCTATGATAACGGTAACGCTCTTTTTCAGGGCATTATCATTTGCAGATGCCCTCGGTCTTTTCAACTGCCCTCCTTCGTCGGGCAGTTAATGAAAAACCTCGGGCTTCTGCAAATGATAATGCCCTGAAAAATAGCGTTACCCTTATACCCATGAGTGAATATCTCACCCTGAATATTGATACAGGTTGACTTGTATCCACACAACCACGAAGCTGCATGTTGTAGGCACTGTGTTTACATCCTGGCTTCCTGTGACTACCCTACATCTGTATAAACTGTAAATACCCTCAACATAACCATTGGATCATAAAGTGCTCTGACTTAAACTATGTCTTAGCAAGCTGCATTGCAAAACAATCTAAAATTTAAGGTTTCTTTGAGTTTAGATAGAGTCACATCCCATATACTTGTGAGCTAATCTTATGACACCCTATATACTTGTGAGCCAATCTTATGACATCCTATATACTTGTGAGCCAATCTTATGACACCCTATATACTTGTGAGCCAATCTTATGACACCCTATATACTTGTGAGCCAATCTTATGACACCCTATATACTTGTGAGTCAATCTTATAACACCCTATATACTTGTGAGCCAATCTTATGACACCCTATATACTTGTGAGTCAATCTTATGACACCCTATATACTTGTGAGTCAATCTTATAACACCCTATATACTTGTGAGCCAATCTTATGACACCCTATATACTTGTGAGTCAATCTTATAACACCCTATATACTTGTGAGCCAATCTTATGACACCCTATATACTTGTAAGCCAATCTTATGACATCCTATATACTTGTGAGCCAATCTTATGACACCCTATATACTTGTGAGCCAATCTTATAACATCCTATATACTTGTAAGCCAATCTTATGACATCCTATATACTTGTGAGCCAATCTTATGACCCCCTATATACTTGTGAGCAATCTTATGATGCTTGTAAATTAACCTTCAGGTCAGATGGTACCCTCCAACCTTGCATGTGTTTGAATTGTTGAATTGTTGAGTCTGTGAACCATTTGTAAGATGCCTTCCCAGAGCCTCACTTGGCAAGTATCATATCAACAAACCACAATACACTTCTGCGGTCATATGATGAAAACCCAAGGATCATAATCAGAATGAATCAGAGATCCAACGCCATGAGGCCACAGCTAAGGGACACAACTCTGCACAGCCAACTGCAGTGCCTTAGACCACACATTTGATTAAAAATCCTAAATATTGCATAACATGCTATACAAGACAATATTCATCACATGCTGTACAACATACACACTGTACAACATGCACACTGTACAACATACACACTGTACAACATACACACTGTACAACATATACACTGTACAACATGCACACTGTACAACATGCACACTGTACAACATGCACACTGTACAACATGCACACTGTTCAACATGCACACTGTACAACATGCACACTGTACAACATGCACACTGTACAACATACACACTGTACAACATACACACTGTACAACATACACAATGTACAACATACACACTGTATAACATATACACTGTACAACATACACACTGTCTCCACTGACAGTCACCTAGCTGTTTTCTTTACGCCTCCCCAACCATCGTCCCAAGGTACATGAAGATCCTGAATTCACTGACGTCCCAGAACACTCGATCCCCACCACTGTCCATCATCAGTGATCTCTGAGGTCACAACAACCCCAAACATATCACAGAATCAATGCGTCTCATTCCAGTACAAGACCCCCATTATAACCTCTTACTTCTAACCTAACCTGCAGACACAGCCAAATGCCAAGCATGTCTGCAACCTATTCAAATACACTCCTTATGGATATTGGAACAGATCCAGTAGAGAAATTAACAATTCTGTAAGCAGACAACTTCCAAGGGCCTTGTCGTTGCCTATCTGCTAATGAAGTCAGTATTTAGCCACAATGTTAGGGTGAACCCTGGTGTCCATTGCTGTCTCAACTCTACCAAACCTTCAGAAATAAAAGCACTTAAGCAACAGTCTAATTGACAGTGCAGTTCTTCATGCCCCTTCATCAACTGGCTACAGAGGCAGACATGACACTTGAGCATGCAGAACAGAACAATTGGCAGGAATTCAAAGACATCGCCATCAATATAACAATGTGTGTTTGTGAGAATCTCCAGGATATGTCATGATAAATACATCGGTCCATCACTAATTCCAAACAACACATTGGTCTATGAACTGACCATCAGTGTATTCGCATAATTAGCTATTTGTTCCATGCAGTACATAAAAAACCCATATCATTGTCATGATTTTGCCTTACTTCACACTATACAACAATCCAAGATACAATTTACACTTAGAACTTTCACTAACAAACCCGAAGACTACAGAACAGTGCTTCTAACATCAGTTAAATACATAAATATTTATTCAGTTTTCACATAATTCTTGAAATTCTTCCTGTTGATACATTTCAATTGCAGGCTTAAAAACAATTACTACAAAAGCTGAGTAATGTTAATAATCAACAGAGGTACATTCCTCTGAAACCCGATCAGTGACAGTTGATCAATGTGAACCATCATACCTGCTACCCAATGTAATCCATGTGGTGTCTACCTGATGTAACAGCTAGCTGAGTGATATTGAACATACATCCCGGCCAGGCAGCAGCTATCCACATCTATCCCCCAGCTCACTGCTCGATCCAAGAGCAGGTAACCCTCTCGTGTGTCCTGTTCAGACCTGCATTATCCCCTATAATCCCCTAATCTCCAGCAGGCGGGGGAGGTCCTAATTACTGATAAATGTAGATTATCAAACGTATTTTGTCACAGGGGGGATAATGTAACCCATTATCTAATCCCACTGCTTGATCATTGCACTGTGGTATTAGCTGTAGGTAGAATGCTGTCCTGAATTCATGGAGTCATCGAGTTAATTGCGGTATTATGAATTGCAATAACATACTCATACTCATCATAATACTTGCCTAGGGCTAGGAATAGCTAAAGGTAACATTAGTTCTGGTATGTAACTTACATATAAACATCTGATTAATGTACGTCTATTTGTGAATAATAGGAAAGTTAATGCCTTAATATCTGGTAAATATGGGTAGGCTAGTGTTGTACATGGTAGTATTTCTGACTCTCTATTCAAAGTTCCCCCACAGGAGACATAAATGTCCGCACACATGCCTCTATAGAGTACTGTGAACTGCTCATACACATTAAAGACACTGCTATAAACTCAGCCCACAGATAGCAGGGGAAGCGTCTCTCAAAAGTGTATACTGTCAAATAAATCTGTCACAGATACAATCGACATGGATAATTCAGTGTCGTCTACAACAGAGGAACAGTATTACTATTGTACCCATGCCATTTTATAACCACTGTCGCTAT